TCGCTTTCTATACCAGTTTGTCTCTGCGACTTGTATTTAGTATTGCACTAAGCAAAACATAAAATGCACGTGCGACAACCATCTGGACTACAGATTTGCGCTAGATCTGTGCTTGTGGGCTACAATGAAATAACTTACTGCACATATTATGCTAAGCCAATGTCAGCACCGACACGTTACTTAGTAGCTGAACACGTTCCACGAATACTTTCTGAATAGTACGATTTTAGGACAATTCCTACAACAACCTTTCACCTCTATCTGAAATACTGACCCTTGGCAATCTGTGCTTTACGACACTACCGTGTCTACTAATAATGGCTTAATGGAAAAATACGTTTCCCATCGATTGCTTTCGGCTTTATCATCCCCGCAAACATACTCCTGAATAATGGGTCGGTGGAGTAATCTTTAGGCCATTGTGTTTTCCCTATTTCGAATTAGAGTTGGTCCACTGAGCTGAAATTAAGTTGATCTCAGTAGATAGCGGAATACACTATGTAGTGCGCATAATACAGAATCGAATCGAGAGAGCTTATGAAGGATGAATGTACTCCTGTTCATTGTCCTCTCTGACCGCATCACACCGCGTTAGCGGTCCATTTGTCATAACGTCTATCATTTTAAGATGTTCTAGCCATCGATATATGACATTGAATGCCCGACTTCATGAAGCAGCTTATTTTACGAAATGCCCCATCAGTACATGTAATGATTACGCTGTTCTGCAAGCCAGGGGTCACCTCGGCGGCTAAACGAACGCTGTTAAAACTCGGCTTGAGCACTGCAACTAATACTAGTCTATCGTATTTGAAGTGATTTTAGTTTAACTAGGTTGAACCTAATGCTACATGACTCCGTGACCGTGTTGTTGTTTAGAAAATAGAGAAACAATGGTTTTTGGTAGACTACGACGTTTGGTAGTAGTGGCTCTACCGAGTGCATGCTGTTGCAAATAGATTTTTCTGGAATTGTAGCGCTGTTTTTACGCTAGAAAATTATTTATATTCGTTTCAATATTAACTGCGTAGTCAGCCGCTATGAGACGTTGTCAATATATGTTCGCAAGCGCACCTTACTTATACGGTTTCTGTCAGAAGTCTAATATATCACTCTAGTAGCGCTCGCATGCCTTCGCTAGTTAAGATGTTGGACGGATGAGGTAAACTGTCTTTGACTTCATGTCTAGGTAAAGCAGCAGGAAAGGCCGTGGACAATTAACCCTAACTTTCTAGTGCCATCTGAACGTTTTTGGAGCTCTGTCGTCTGCAAGGTAACACTTAAGAAGCTTATTATAAATAGGGGCAAGCCCATATTAATAGAAAGCGACACTTTCTAAGAAAGAACCAGCAACATTTGCTCACATACATCGACCATGGTTTGGCATTTTGAGTTCCTTGGAGAAATTTGTCTAGAACTCCTTACCGCGCTGGTGGGAAATTTCGAAGTCACAAAGCCCGACTTCCGAATACTGCTGATAAATATCCGTGAACTATAATAAATAATCATTTAAATAGCGTCGCGTAGCACAATTAGTCTGCCTCGTTCAAGTGGATGGCTATGAGAACATGATTTCAACAGCATCCGCTCCAAAAATTGAATTTACTTTGTCGCTATCCGTTGTATCCAAAACGTCGTCACTTTGTTCTGTCAATGGTTTTGATAAACACGACCGCCATTTACGATGGCTGAAGGATCGTGTGAGCCCTGTTTACGTCCTCACATAGTTAAGCCTGTCCTTCACTGAAGTCCCACTAAGGTGAAACAAAATGTATTTTTCGACCGTTGCCGTGACTATCTGCTTCCAGTTCTATTAGCTCGAGAGGCATTGATGAGCTGTTCGTGACCCTTCAAACTGTCACTTAGGTCGCTACAAGTGGAAAAAAACTATATTCTCTAATACTTCCTTTGAAGCCCTGCCCTTTTGACCGATTCGTACAACAAACAGTGGCGACAATATTGCCCTTTATCAACGACATCAAATGAATAAATACTATTATAGGCTATATGGTCTATAGATAGATTTGCAATACCGGGCCTCTTTTCTACGCCTTTACAGATGTTTATCGAAACGCGCTGCGCGAAACAGTTCGACGAAATATAAAATCATTTACGCATCTGATAAAAACATCGAGCTCAGCAGACGATCGTTAAATCCTGAAAAGATCGTGATAATGTTACACGGTGGTAAACACTCTGTACGACGGAGATCGTCTACCTATTCTATTGATTTATTTCAACAAAAATACCAGTAGAAGTCAACATCCACTATTAATTTTCTAAATCAATAGAAACGTTTTCCCTCAGTAACCGTTCTTGAAATATTTATCTCTAAGTATCATTGTTCGGATCAAAATCCATATGACAATAAGTATAGTATCGTGTATGTACAAAGGATTTGTACAGCTGTGGGCACAAGGCGGTCTAATGAATTCGTTTAAAAGCTTTCCCTACGTCAATAATATGGTTAATATTTATGTATTATGTATCATCGATGCCACCACAGAATGATAAAGCACTAAAAAAAAAAAAAGAAAAAAAGGTGTAGCCTGAAGAAGAGCGAAACCCAGATTCTACCTTTACCCATCAGTCTACAGGCACTTCAGCTACTTTTGTGTGTTATGCTAGTTGTCGCTGATTAGACCTCCGACATAAAATCCCCCAGCTTATATACGACACTACATGGCTTAATTAATTAATAACAGAAACAAATTCGGTTTGTCCTATTGATAATTTGCATTATTAAGTAATAAGCAAACAATGTGAAAATTTCACACAAATAAACAAAAGCTTACTTCAACTAGAAAACTAGGTATTAGTCTATGTTATTAAGCAAAAGTAGAGCTATCTTATCCTATTTCTCCCTACCAAGTAAGGAAGCGTTTGTGGTCTTGTCTAAGCGATGCTACTTAGAAACAGTGGAAGCTGCTAGCTCGAAACTGAAAGTTTCCATATACTTCTACGCTACTACGCCATTCTGTGTCGCCATTTTCCATAATTTTTACCAGCATGAGTTTCAATTCGCTCAGTTGGCAAATAGCCTATTTACAACGCAAACGAGCCTTGTTGGAACTCCTCGACTCTTTTGAAAGTTGACCATCATGCCTTATCTTTCAGTGGCTTCCGTAGCTAAGTTCTATATGACTCATTAGCCCATGGTGCTCGATTCTATCGTTCCATGATACTTATGAAAAGCTTTTTCTTTCGCGGATCTCCCTGTGTCGAAAACACTACTGCAAGACACGAACACCGTCAACACAGTCGGTCTTCGTTATGATGGCCGTACTTCACATATCCACCTGACTCTTGCCGTTTTCGACAATAACAACAACGTAGAACACCATCAGTGTACTACCGTATAGGAAAATCGGGATAGATTGCGAAATCACGTTAAATATATTTTCATGACTTGCTATTCTATTTACGAAAATGCGGCTGCAACTGACCCATAGACTGAGATCAATCGAACTAATGAGATCAGTCAAGCCGAGTTCATAGTAGATAGTTAATGGAAAATCGGATAGCAGCTACTACATATGACGCGCACATAACGGCTTAACGTATCTGACGGCAACTAACCTATACATGATGGCTGACTGACATCGAAGCGCGTTACGAACCAGGACTGGGCATCATGCGGGAGAGGCAAACCCAACCCTTTATAGGCGCAAGCCTATCAAATTCGCACTCCACTACTCCACATTCGGCGTGACGACAGGTCAGCCGGGGCGCAAGGCGCAATAATCGTTTGGCGGCTGCAGTTCGAATTAACGGCGACGTTGTGATGGAGGCCGAGCGCTTAGCATGTGCTCGCTTGGCAAAGGAAAGTAACGCCAGGGCCGAAATAAGCGTACCAAATTTTGTTTTTTCGGCTCAAGGAGAAAATTGGATTTAGGGGGATATCGAAAGGGGTCAAAATGGCAACGTTTACAGGAACAAACAGATTAAAAGGAATTAACATTTCGTTGAATACGAGTGGACAGGTGGGTGACTCGACGAGACGTGGGTATCCTTTGACTGCATGTTTTCGCATTGGATACGGGTGAGTTCGATTTAAGAAAGCCACGAATATGCGCTTCTTTCTGTTAGGACGGTATACATAAATATATTGAGAGCTACAACAAGAAAGATGTGCGTTGAACACACATATATAACGTTACGATATATACATATATATAAGGTGGAAGCAAACATCTCTCGGCAATTTGAGTTTTGTTCAAGTTTTATGTCTAATAGAATTACGTTTCGCATCCTCGTGACCGTAGAAATGCGTATTCTTTTCCTACAAACATATACAGCTCTCTTTGTGGATCGAAACCCGGCATGAAGACACGGCCATCATGAAAAATCCGGCCAAACTAGCTACACGGAGCTGATCGTACGTTTTGTCAATTCCATAAGTAACGTACGCCCCATATAACAAGTGTCAAACCGAATATCATTCATGTTAATAATGACAGTAAATATATGTTTTTTTCACGTTCTCGCATGTGACGTCTGAAGAAAACTGTGACGACACTGACTAGCTGTTTCGTCGACGAGAGCAACAAACAAAAAAAGGATTGTAGCATTTCAAGTGGACTAACGTCTGGCGCACTTCCCTATAAAAAAAGAATTCAACTAACAGTTGATTGGATGAGCTTCACTGTCACATAGATACATAACGACGCACATGCCCCACCACTTTTGCCAAGCCAACGATAAAACACCATGTCACGCTGGGTACAAATTGGTGTTTTGCACACATTGCTACTCGTAGAAGCTTCTCAGTCCTCTGCTGCAATGAGGGCATCTTGCATCGTGTCTATTCATGCAAGTTGTAGACCTCGAAGGTGGAGAAAACGTGCGTGGAAATCATTGTCTGGCATCCGGATAGGCATGTTACGTTAATACTATCAGTGATTGTTGGTGGCCGAGGTCTCCATTGCGAAATGCAAACTTCGATCAGTTGAAATCGTTGATAATTATTGGTAGTACGTCGTATTCTTCATTCCGTAGCTTCATTCGTATCTTCAAGCTTCGTTCAGTTTTTTGGTAAGTGTTAGTAGGAATTGAATTTGATTGTCAATGGATCATCTGGATAGATTGAATCAAAAAAAAACATACGTTACTATTTCACAGTCATTAGATTTGAACTTGAGCGCGAAAGTGTGGGCGAGGGCTTTAATAGTGCCCTTTCATGTTTATTGCTCTATTCTACCTGACACACTTGTCTGTCTCGTAGTGTTAAAGGTTAGGTGACTTAAGTGCAATTTCGTAATTATTCAAATTTAGCGGAGGTCCTTTAGGGTTGACCTTTGACAAATGTAGGCTGGATAATAGTGACCAAAGTGAATGCCGTCTTCTAATGAATGAAAATTAATAGGTTTCAATATTAAAGCACTGTTTTCTATCATGGTGGCTTAAAGTTTGTAGAGCGGCGGTATTTGAACTAACTAGTAACAATGCTGGTGCTAGCAGACACTCATTTGCTTCTTTGTCAATTGGATCTATTGGGCCCATTACACACAGTTGAATACAAACCTCAAAATGTCTCGATTATTGTACCTCAAATACTTCGATATATGAATAATTATTTAATTGTTTCTGCTTGGCCAGTTGATACTTAAGCGTATAAACGTTTGTCGGAAAGATCTAGATGAATCGGTTGAAGTCGAATACTATAATCATACATCGTTGTTTACAGCTGCGTAGATGGATTTTGTGGAAGAAGAGACTGCCGGCGTCGTCAATATCTTGAAAGCTTCAAAGGAAGGCGGCTCGTTCACATTGATTTTTGCCGACCGAGTTAGGCTAACAGCGGCCAAGGGCCTTCTGTCCTTTTCGCTGTCTATTTCGCTGATCTCTCAAAAAAAAAACTCAAATCTTAAGGAAGTGCAAATGGAATCATCAGCTGTACCTTGCAAATTTATAAGTTTTATATCGAGCAGAAGGACGCGGACCGCACTCGAAATGCTTTTCCTGCTCTGAAGTTCGCGAATTGGATAAAATGTAACCATTTTTTTTTTTATTTGTTGCGTCCATGTCGCAAGCGGAATCGAATTCCTGTTCGATGAGGGCGCCAGGAGCGTACATACAGTGCTCTTACACCTTCTGGAGCATCATCCCGTGAGGACAAATCAACATTACCTTTTGGCATCTTTTAGAAACGTGTCGGACAGGAACATGATCATTACCAGGCCGATATCGAATAGTAATCCACAAAGTAACATATACGTGAATAGGCCTTTAGATCTGCCTATATTTATGAGCCTAATAAGCATTGCTCTAATGAAAGATATTCAAGGTAACCTAATTAACGACATTTGCCTTGGCCACAGATCGGTGCCTGGCAATTTCTGTCCGTTTCATCTGTCCTTCAATAAGTATATGATCTATGAAACCGAAGGAATTTGAATTCACATTTGAAAATTCTTCCGATTCGCCGAAGTAAGTTGAATAATAATACAGATGTGCCTTTTCACAACGAGAGGGAATTTGTTCTGTAATCCAATTTGATAACTTCGCACAGCCCACGTAAATGGCGATCGGCTAACAATTGTGGCGTTAACTGCTGGTTCAGCAATCCCCGATCGCATGTTTGCGACAAATGTCGGACCGCGCAGGAGGTTACTGAGACAATGTTGCGTACGAAGAGATTATTCGGGATAATGGAAGAGGCACTCAGGCTTCGCTCAAGGGGCCTGCTCGCATTGCCTACAATATGATAGGTATCAATGAGGTTCGCGAAGGCACCTTTCAAACGGTCTCCTATAAATTCATACACAACAGATACAATCAACAGAAGGTAAGCGTACCACATGGTAAGGTTCATTCAATTGTTGTTTTATAGCTCCTACACGTACTGGTCGCTTGACTAGAATGTATTTCTACCCTGTTTAAGACAATTGTATTTTAATATGTTCCAGATACGTTTTACCGTGGTGATTCCTGTTAAATTGTATGTTCTAAAAGTCTGACTAGGTAGCGTGACTCTGATTAGGACGTCATGCTTGTACACACTCCAAGTGTCCGACGTTACAAGCCTTTAAATAAATTAATTTTACTAGTATCCACTCTTCCCGAGTTCTAGTATTCAATCGTAATCTAGACGAATACGAAATACGGGTAACTTGGTATAGCCCACTAACCATTGACCACTAAAGATCAATTCTAATTCTTCAAGAAGATATATAAGTTGCTAATTAATTATTAAACCCATTTTCACTCGAGGATTCGTTTGCCTATTACGACCATATTTTATTGATGTAGTTTATAATCTATATGCTATACAGACAAGAAAATTGATCTCACAATCATCGTGGTTAGGTAAAGCCGTAGCTCGCTCTCGTAAATAATTATGTTCGTAAATAATATCCACCTCAGCAAATATATACTATTATAAGTCTGACTCAAATCAGAACGAAGAACAACGATATATATATATATATATATATATATATATATATATATATATATATATATATATAGCTTAATTGTTAAAGTCATCAATATTGGCTATCTTCGTCGGGATCGATTTTGAGCCTGTGTACGTAAGGTTTCCCATTGTAATAGGCCAAGGGTCGCCGGTTCGAGCCAATATCACTGATAAAAACGTGCCGTACTTTTTTGCAGTGGGTATTAACAGTGTGCCTGTTATGGTCATGGATCCGAATCGATTGCATTAGGTAACTGCAGAGTTGAAGTCTTCCTAAAGTCAAGCCCATATCTAGTAAAGGTGTTTTCTGTCAATAGTGCATTTTAAGCCACTTATAGTGGTAACAGGTTTTATGCATAGGGGTTGCAGGTTAAGACGTTTTACGATTACGTATACAGATAAAACTTCTACTTGCATCCACAGTGTAACTTTTATTCATTACCAACAAAATGTTCAATACGTAAGATTTCGGTAAGACGACGGTTGGTGATCCGATTCATTAGTATATATATATATATATATATATATATTATATATATATATATACATATATATATATATATATATATATATATACATATATATATGTATATAGACTTCAATTAATCAACCTAGGAATCCGAAATCGATAATACAGTTAAATTGAGTATGGTCAAAGAACTAAAATGACTAGACGAAGCCGTAGTAAATTATAACACGATATGAAAATATCTTTTTTAGACCTCTCAAGACAAATCAAAGATTTTATCTTTCACCTTCATCTGGTTGAATTTTTTTAGCTAGGCTGAATGGCCTTCGTTTTAGCATTTAGATAGTAAATGCACCAGAAAGCGGGTCTGATTGGAAACTATGTTTCTGAGAAGAGGTTATTTAATGGAATCAGTGGAACACGATCGAGTAATCAATAGCTACAATGAGCGTAAGTAATGCAGCCTGTACTATAGCCGTTAATATACGTTGTTCCTAGCTATAAAGTGAAACCATTTCTTAGACCTATCAGTCTCGACGAATCCTTAGACAACGTTGCACCAAACAGCATTTACCAGACTTAATATAGCCTGTATAAGCCTTGAAAGATCACAGCCATTATCGATTTGCTGGCAATATGCTTTTTTCATCACGTACAAAATAGGTTTGACAATTAAAGTCAATTTACATGAGCCGTCTCATGATACATTGCGCTATGTACTTTAGGACTTCCAACCCAAATTCAAAAATGTCTTCAAAATCGCTTGATATACTAGACCATAACATAACACATGTTTCATAGACGAAAGCTATAGCATCTCTTATGTAGCAGATGAAACGTACTTTCATCTGAGCAGACGACACTGGACGTCTGATGTGTATTTGTGCCACTAGCTAATGAATGCCCTTTACCTCTCTTGACCATTTCCTTGAGCCTACACATTGATGTTTGGGAGTCCCACTTGATCAGCCGGGGGCGGACCTTCGGCCAAACAGTAGTATTTTTTTGGTTGTGGTGTAATTCGAAGACGATCCAGCGATTCGCAAACATGAATGTTGATCATCTAAATGCTCTGTAAGTTTTTATCGGAGGACCCTGCAAAATCGGGGAATTATTAGATTACACTTCAGATGTGTGTCGATAACTGACGTTAGGCCACGGGCTTCTCTCTTTTTTTTCATTTAGGCCCTCAAAACAATCGAACATAAAACGATGAAGTAGTTCGATCATTTTTTGACTAACCAAACTGTAATAGTAATAGGCATCCTAAAACATCAGAAGACCGTTACAGCAACAGCCTTTTACACCGCTCCCATGATCTCCGCCTTTATCCCACATGACACACAATATAATCATCTAGTAACTTTCTTCTTTCTATCGTCTGCAGCCAGCTTGGGCATTTGTGGTTTGGTAGGTGGCAAGGTTTAGCAGATTTTTACCTGTATTTTTTTCTCGCTACTCCAAAAGGTTGTAATCTTCGTCCAGAGTAGCTCATAAATATTGGAAGTTTCTTTTTTTGATTTAGACTTTTTTGTCGAGAAGATCACAGTTGCGCTTCTACACGGATTAGATGTCAGTTGAACTCCTTATTCTTATTGGATTGTAACATTCACTAGGACTTCGACATTCTACTGGGGGTGAAGTCGTCTGCAAACTGTTGTCTCGGTGTCCCAAATGAAGTCTTAGTATTGGACATTGAACTTTATCAGTTGGCCTCCTGGTTGTGCCAAATAGAGCGTGAACAAAAACATTGGCCGTCCCCATTCGTTCATACGATAAAGAATGTATGTACATTACATACATACTTGCATAGTCTAACTAGTTTTCTCTAAACGTCTCTAAACAAACAGGCATATGCTTGTCAACAGGCTTTATTACGAAATTTTCGGTTTTGTCGTTTCAAAGGTAAGCATTTGAAGGGAAGCAAAAAGACATGCATGTAGGTCATTTCGAATAGAAGGTATTTACACACATCGCAACGTTCAACGGGAAGATTTTGTCCTGAAAGATCGATAATTACGTGTAGCACAATCTAAAGTAGATCGGTACCTGCAGTACGCTATTTTACTATATAATAATATTGCGCAACAACTAAGAATATAGATAATTGGTTGCACGATAATAATGTTTATGTGTGAGATTGACGTATTTACTGATGACCATATGTTGGTCATGCGAGTTCCCACAGGCTGGCCAAGGGTGGTGAAATGTTCAAAATAGGGCAGGACGTTTTAAAGTTGGTTGTCGAGGAAATTCAGCGGGTCAAGGATGACTTGTAAGTCTGTTAATTTTTTCTTGCGAAATATGTATACATTATAACACATTAGATAATATAATTTAAATATGTGGTAATACGCCTATGGACGTATTCACCGCATACCTAGTGGTTGAAAAATGCTCGTTCTTGCCAGTCAGGTTCAAAGTTAAGCCAGTTCACTTCGATATGTATATATATATATATATATACAAGGGTTTTTAAATAGTTTGACCAAGTCATCTGGCAGTCCTACTATCTTGTGTAGTCAGCGTTCAGTGAGGTAACCAGCATGCTTAAGATTTTGTGCGAAAAATAAGGCCAATCGCACCGACGCCTTACGGACGTTGCGGTATGCCTAAGCTCAAGCAGACCAGTGGCTCAAGGGTTTCGAATAACATAAACCAGAGTACATCAAAGACAATCGTCATCTTGAAGGACATGTGACAACAATCACGGACAAAAACGTGCAAGGAATCATATAACTTGTGCTCGTTAACCTCCGAATTACCATGAAAGGCCTGGCAGAAAAGATTGAGATCTCAATGGACTACTGTCAGGCGCTAGAAGGTCTGCGACAAACTTTGTGTAGCAGATGAACATCACTGAAGAACTGAGTTAGGAACATTTTATGGTATCTTTAGAAGGACCAAACTCGCTCGAATACGTTATTACAGGTGCTCAGACATGGGTATGCAGCTATGACAAGCAGAACAAGGGGCAATCTTCCGAATAGCGGTCGAAGAGCAAAACCCCGACCAAAGAAAATCATACGGTCTAGGTCCGAAATTAGTCTCTTTAGAGTTTCGTTTGTCTTTCGTCATGATCTCATGCCATCTGGCCCCACGGTCTCCACCTTTGAGAACCACATTTGAGAAGACTGCCCGAGTGTGTCCAATGCAAGAAACCAGAATTGTGGCACTACAAGTACCAAGTCCACCATCACGAGAATGCACCGGCCCAGACTGCATTGCTCAAACATCACTTCGTGCAAAAAAATCGATCTTTCTGTTACCCCGACTCCCGTATTCACTGGGTTTAACGCGTTCAACTTAATTCTATTCAAAAAACGGTAGAAAAGAGTGAAGGGGGAAAGCTTCAATACAAAGAAAGGAATAAAAGAAAAACTGCCTATCGAGTTAGTTGTTCCGAGGATCGTTTACAGGAGGACGACAGACGTATCGCATCCTACTTGGATTTCGAGAACCGGGGCGATTTAATAAATACTTGTCGACCGGAAGTGAATGGCTTATTTATTCTTGAACAGAAGATTATATATATGATGGTTTAAGCATAGATTGATCGATCTAACTATGAAGAAAAAGGTTGCATGTACGTAAACCTGATTTTGAATTTGAGATTTCTGAATCAAACCGTGTATTTCGCACAAAGCAATCGATGTTATTTGTTTTTCTTTCTTTTTGCTTTGACAACTTTGGCTCTTTTTATTGTCCTTTACTATATTATATTATTACTATATTTATTCATTGTCCTTTACTATATGTCACGGTATCCATTTGCCGCCGCTGAAACTTATGCTGTTGATGTTAGGTCAGTCCAACGGAGTAAACTTTTTATTTAGTAAAGGAAAGTAACTTAGATGACGCCTAAAGATTCCTGTTGTATTGTGGACTGTTGCAGGACACAAGACGAACTTCGCGAACTAATGACGGCCGTTGAAAGAGCTAAGCATGACCAAATTAAAGTCGAGGGATCAATAAATAAAAGCTATAAAAATGTCGCACTCGTAGAAAATGTCACTGAGCCAGGTATGAGATAATGAGAATCTGTTTGTGTTAATATAGCTTTTTCTATTCGGTCTTATTATTTTCTATTTGATTCTAAATACGATGGTATAGTGATAAGGTGTTTGCTTACTAGACTTATGAACAGGTAGTGGTCTCGGATCGGGACCGAGCGTAGACACACTTCGATTTGTTCTTGGAAGGGCCAGCCGTCTGGACCAGTCTTTAAAGGGCAGTGCTGGACGTAAAAATCAACAGATTTAAGTGATTCTGTGTGTAATTAGAGTTTAGCTTTACTGCACCGATGTGTACCTGGCCACCTTTTTCGAGTTACTAATTTTTACTAATATTATTATTTTGGCTGTATAATAAATTATTTTTGCATCTGCTGATCCCATATGTAAATCATTCAATTACATGACATATAAGCCATGTCTGGTACCGGCTTTCAGATTTCAACAAGATTCGCGAGGAAATCATCGATCTTAAAAAAAACTATAGGTAATATGCCTGCTATTTTCTTTTGTACTTCCAGTGCATATTTACTAGAACCCAATAGCATCATCGTAATGTATCTGATACACAATCACTTCCACATTTTAATGTCAAAACAATGTCTTGCGTCCTCCAGGCAGAAGAAAGCTTATCTCAAGGTGCTCAATACATGGATCAGTCAGTGCGAAATCACCGCGAAGAAATGGGTCAGAGACCTATACTCCAAAATAGAAGAACAACTCTACATGGAAGAGTTAGTGAAAGGCAAATCTTAATTATGCTGTTCACTACTAAATAAACAACATGGCTGCTAATGTAATTTAATAAAAATGTGCCTGTTTAGGCCAGGCGCATTCTAGCAGCGTACAAATTTATGCTTACTTCTTTTGATGTCCTGTTTGCGCCGCAATTCAACTTTTTTACATTATGTACGACTGATAATCTATAAAGTAATTGTGCCTTACTGTTTACTGTACTCGTGTTGTACACCCAATAGAATGGCAGTCGAATTAATAAAACATCATCTATTTCATAGGTCCTACTGAATTACGGATGGAAATACACTCTTATTTACATAGAATGTTATGTCAACTGATTGTTGTCTTTTTTGTTCTAGAGAAACTCTCAATGACATCGAAGAAGTGGTCTTGAAAAGCGAGAAACTCGTAAAGGAGCGCCTGCAGGACGAGTCAGCCTCTATCGTCCATGAGCTGGCTTCCGCCGACAACAATGCATTCGGAACGATCGCTCAGATCAGGGCAGCATTCGTGGACGAGGCGTCCTCGTTGACACCGCAGTCACGTTATAAATCCGCGGCCAGCTTCGAGGCCCAGCTGGACCCCGTCAGTCATAGCCTCGTACGGCCAGCGATCGTAAACAATAGATCGCAACTAATACCAACGATTGAAGTGGACGGTCTTCCCCTCATTGCAAATCTTGACGTTGCTCTAACAGAATTGCCCGATACCATTCGCAGTGGGGGTGCTCCGAGCGGTAAATTGCTCGTCCCATCAACGAATATCGAAGATCATTCAGTGGAAAGCGGAGTCTCGATTACGTCTGCCTGCTCAGCTGAGGAAGTGCACGAAGTAAAGGAAGCTAGCTATTGAGCATCGCTGTTGGTGCCTGCTTCTACCAGTGATATAAATTTTGTTTCAGGTGTTACGCGCGATTTTTAAGCCATTATGCATTAATTTAGACAGCAATGGTCTGTGTTGACATGTTTCTCCGATACTGTAAATATGTTGAGACAATTTTTGGAAAATTGGATAATTTTGATTAATAAATGTCTGATATATGTGCTTCGCATAAGTATCGCTGTTTTCATTTGTCGTTTTTCAATATATCTCTTTAGAAATGACAGCTTTTGGTAAATATGTTCAACACTTAGCGAATAGCACTGAACATCAACCACACTGATCTTTTGTATCCAGCCTCTGGTCTTGTTACATTTTATTAGAAAACTTTCGAAGTTCGCTTTGTCAACCCAACAAAAACCGTCATAGAGTTGTTCTTCTTTTGAGCAGATTATTTTGCCAATACGGTACCTTAGAGATATCCCGATATCTAGCGCCGCTTCAACATAAGTTTTAATAGATGTAAACGAACAGAATCTATTAAGCATATTAATATCCGATTTTCAACAAAAATATTATATACCTTAGACAAACATTATTTACGTTTAGGAACTTACTTTCGTTCAGTAGAATGAATGAATTTTTCGTTTTCCTAGCACACTATCTAATTAAGAAGTCCTTCTTCCGCTAGGAAACATCCTTTTTCTTTACCGGCAGTCTCGCATGCGCCGTTGCATAACCATGCGCTACCGCAAGAGCCTGGCTAGGGCTAACTGCTGTTTCAAGGACCAGTTGTTAACTTAAGTTTAACTGAAATGCACACAGTTCGAATGGACGAAATAATAATGAGATCGCGCTATTGTCGAAAACTATTTCAAAAGGGGCAGCGCGTTGTTTAGGCAAAAATGATTTATTTTTTTAATAATCAAACATTCGTTTGATATCGTGAACTCGAAGGGCTTTCGACTTTCTGTAACGAGGACGGCGTGTTTGCTAACGTTTATTAGAGGAAACGTTTCCAGAAGAAACATGCAGTAAAAGCGTCAAAAAAATAAAGAAAATATAGCTCCGAAAATACCGCAGTTGTCTAAGTTCCATTTGTCTTCCACGAATCCGATGCACCTGTGCCTGTACAATCCTACAACTAAGTTAGTTTGACAACTGTTTTCTAACCCAATTCTAAGAGTAAACCTTAGCCTTGGGCTTCCTCGTTTTCTCTTGAACCTTTTCGATCATCTCAAAGCATGTTTTTCTCGTGTGTTTCTTAAACTTGGAACCGAAGGAAAATTGCAGGGGGTAACATTTAATGAATAAAGGGTCTGAACTAATATTGTATATATAGTCTGGGGTTAAGCGTTATAGCAGTCGCCTCAAGTGATTATAGTCGAAATCAATGTATCTTACCTTGTATCCTAACGTTTAGCAAATGGTTATAGTAAATTGCACGCCATTTTCTCTAAAAGTTGCAGTGAATTACTTACCATCAAAGGTCCCGTTCGTTTTTCAGCTTCGATTATTCTGCTTTCAACCTAGCATTGAAAGCGTACTTTAACGGATGGTTCCTTTTTTACATTACTTGACAAAGGTTCATTGACTGAACTTGACCCTAAATCCTGGCTTATACAACATAATTCAGCTCATTGACAATCAGCATTTCCAGCTGTTTCAATCTGCGGACGCACACCGTTGAAAATACTACTTACGCTTTTCCTAATTAGGCCCTAAAACCCCTTCTGCAAAACAGTAAATCTGCTCTCTTAGTCTAACCGGAACAGGTAAACACTCAAAAAAAATTCTCATTTCCCGATAGTCAACTTTTCCAAAATGGATTATACAGAGAGGAACAACAGAAAAATTATTAGGACAACAATATTTCTAATCTTTGGTTTTTCCATATTCCAATGAGAATAATCAGAGTCACGTACAGGGACGCTGCCCGGTAACTGATTTGCCGCAGTAAATTCTGCCTGAGAGCTTTATTATTCGTAAATCAACATATCGGTTGGTAAAATCACACCTTAACTTTAAAGGTGTGATTTTACCAACGTTTAAAGTAAATTTGATCAAAAAGTTTTCCGTCACCAACCTGAACAGCTTCGTATAGCCCATAGAATTTGATATAAGTGATTGGTAGTGGCACCTGGTACCGAATTCATGCTATGGTGCTCGTACGACAGCTGATAACACCTAAAAAATGAACAGTGTCAACCAAATATCGTCAACGTTATAGGGACTCATCTAAAAATATAATAACGATGCATTATAAGAAAAGCTAATCGTAAGATTTACGGCCTGCCACTATTTTTAACTTATTGGATTATTGCTACTAGAAAAAGAACTAAGGTCTTGCTTGGACGGCAAGGTTAATCATGCGAAGGCATCAAAAGTCACTGCCAAAAGACAGACAAGTTACACAAAACAGTATACTGTTATACATCTATTTCGCTAGTCTTCTAAAAATCCATTAGGATTAAGTTGCGTTAGATGTCCAGAAAATTTCTACACTATATAACCCATAACTAGATAATATTGCCTCGAGATCGCCGTCTCGAATAAAGGAACTTCGTATCTATAGGTACAAGATTCACAAGGTAATTTTCTCAACTTCAATTATAGAACTTCTTCGTAAAGATCGCTAGAATAAATAAAAATGTGATTACATTTCAGTTTTTTCCTTGGTGCTTTAGAGACGAATAGATGTGATCGCAGGGTTCATACGTAAAAAAACAATGTATGAAGTTTTCCAGTATGGGTTTTCCAGATGCTCTATTTTCGTAACGTAGCCTTCCAATAAAAATTCAACCGTGGAAAGTGTACGCTGTTCGTTTGCAAGTATAACGGTAAGATGGTGCAAATAATGCCAGAACGGTGTAAACTGTTTTTCAGTGTGCCGGTACAAATCTTGCTTGCGCCACAATATCCCAGTCGTGCTTAAAACTATCCGTTTTAATATATTAGTCGCTTGACAGCCAGGTGGTGGCTTCGTTGGCGCCGCTGAAATTCCCTTTGAAGTAAAATTAGAATGCAGTAGTTAAATCATTTGACAGAATAAGAACATCACTAAAACGATACGCTTTTCCGTGCGTCAAACTGGAGATGGAAGCGCCATTCAGCTCGAAATTTTCACATATGACTGTCTAATACATCCCATCACTGACCCTTTCTGTTCCTATAACGTTGTATCCGATTTTAGCTGGTGTTCCAGGTAGGATATGCATGCGTCGTCTGTCGGCGTTTACTCGTTAGCTCAAGACTCCGTCGTCGCCCATCGTCCAGTTGTCAACAACGTCATTGATACTCGTTTCGCATTGTTCACTTCCCGAATTGTCAGAGAATTTTAGCACTAATCCATTGCCAAGAGGCGCCACCAGTCGGCCATGGCCGTCTCTATGCGCTGTGCAAAGCTTAAAGTTTACGCCTAAGGAAAACCTAATGAAATTCAGCTCCTCGTGGTCCCATTCGTAGCGGACATCTTGGCTACTTTTTTCGTCGTTACGAATCAAATGCGGTCGATTTGATCGAGACCTAAAAAATTTCAAGGACTGGTACAATCGTTCATCGGGAGCATTTGTCAGGACGTTCTTCAACATCATAGAGCTATCTAGTGCCTGATATAGAATGTATTTGTTGAAGCAGAGATAGAAGTTGGCGACATGAGCTTCAAAGGGGCAAAAGTTTTGTCCAAAAATGTTAACTGGTGTCCATTTACCGTCCTGGAGAATTGACGTTACCTGTTTACACTGTATACTTTTCATAAGAGCGATGGTGGCTTTCCTTTGAAACAATGGCAAAGGCAAATTATCGTATAGCGGTTCATATATAAATACGTCGACGATGGTACGGATCAGCTCAGTGTCGATTTTCATTAGTAATATCCCTTAGGATTTTATTGCTCGTATTGCTCAAATGTTCTGACAGGAAGAAATTTTACTAATTGCTGCAACACAGAAGCAGTCAATTTCGACCAAGATCCCTTGGGAATTATTATTCCCGCTGCGACGTGGGCGCATTTGATAGAATAAGCAAACGTACTCGATCCTCCCGTTTTCGTTTGAAGACTTGCAGGCGGAAGCTCTAACAATTATCTGTTTTGTACCTAACTGAAAACGTGTGCAACATGGCAACGCGTATCGTTAGAAAAAAAGAAGACCCTCGAATTGGTCGATGACCTCTGTAATTTGTTTGAGAAGCAAAAGAAAAGTGTTCGATATTTTATCATTGTTATGTAAAATGACTACTCGAGCTAACATTTGGTACTATTCTGGCTAGATCGTAAGGGTGTGTATTATTTCTAACGTATGCTATATAACTGTGAGTTTCTGTTAGCCATTCTACTAATGTACTAAATATAACGAATTATATACTGAAGCTTTTTGACCTCAACAGAAACCAGACTAGGCTTAGTATGGAAAATGCGACTAAAAATCGACATTTTTTTAGACTGAGATCACTACAAATTTGAGTGTGGATTTTTTGAGAAAAAGGAAATTTCCCTGATTTTCTACAATTGCAAACTTGTACGACGATCGTTTTTACACGGATATATATATATATATATATATATATGAGCTTATTATTGTTATACTTATATTTGATCTCATTTATTAACATTGTTCTGTATGCTGTAGAACACGAACGACTTTCGCGACTTCATGATGGTCGCCATGTGTATGTTCCATAGTAATAATATATATATATTTAAATATTAACACACTAGACACGAGACAAAAAATCTTAAAAGTGAACCAAATGTAAGAGCTCAGTAATTACTGAAACAGCGTCTATAAAACTGAGCGAAGATTTGAAATCAGCTTCTAATAGAAAATAATAACGGGCCTTCAAAAATTAGGCAGATGACATCAAAAATTTATGAAATACTTGCATAGCCCTTCGTCATGGCAGACTCAGGTCTTTAAGCAAAAAGCTTAGCGGACAAAAAAGAAAAGCCACTTAGATCATTTCGATAAAAAATTACCAAAGTACACCTTACTGGTACACTGAATCGCCAGCGAAATAGTAATGTATGTAAAATATAAAAAAAAAAATAAATATTACTATAGAAGTTTGTTCTGCACTGGATTCATATAACATACTTATAAAAAAGGATTTTTTTTATTTAGAACAACTTACCGTCAGCATAGACTAATAGAACTAATGATGTGATCTTGTAGATTTTGAAGATAATTGAAGTTCCCTTTTACATTTATTTAAGAAGAAA